AAAGAGCAAAGAGTATGCTGTGCTCTGCCATTGTAATCTGTTGCACAGCAAGGTAAAAAACATTTCAGGCCACTGATTTGCCTGAAATGCAATGAAAAGTACTTAGGATAAAAACAAAAGAGTACGTTTTAGGGACTGTGAAAACTCTTCAGAAGATAGCTGCAATAAAAGCTCTGGGTTACCTGGTCCCAAAACTTGCTTTTGTCTTCTCCGTTACTGTGGAAATATGACTCACAAAGCATGTCTTTGAATAAGCTTTAATTGACAGGGGAGGGAAAGTGTCCAAGTGAAACTATGTACGTGGAAAGTGTTGGGCATAACTTAAAAAAGACATCTTGAGAAGAACAGAGCAATGTCTAGAATAACGTATTGACTTCGGAAATTAGTAAGCAATGCATTACATATCCTACTGAGTAACAGAGTCAGGATTTACATATTCACTTGGAGCCTAACAGAATTCTCAAATTACTTCCAACAATTTGGTTTAACCTCCTTATTCTTCTCGAATATGATGATTTAAGGTCATATTATAAACAGAAAACCTTTCCAAACAACAGGGATGTACCAAAATCCCATGTTGCAAGTTTCTCTATGCAGCTTCTGAAGTTTTGTACTTTGAAGCAGGTTTTAAAACAAACAATAAAAGACAAAATGAGAAATAGATGCAGAATCAGGAGAGATCAGATCCAGAGAATTGGTTCGGATCGTCACAAACATGGGGAATTAGCAGTAAAATGTGGATACAAGGCTAGTTTAGTGTTCTGGTCTCCACCAAAATGCTTTATTCAAATATTTTAAGTTTTAATCATTTTAAAATGTCCTTGAGAGAAAAATATTTTTATTATTTCTTTTTAAAACGTGTTTTTAACTTTTCCACCAGAATAAAAGAAATCAAGTTAAAAAGGAAATCAACAACAAACGTTTTTCCCGATTTATTTCCTTTCCATTGTTCCTCTTTTTCCAGGGAAAAATAAGCTGCATGGAAAGGGGAACTAAAATGTTTGGGAAAGAAGGATTTTGTTCATTTAAGAGAAGTTTGACCTTTTTTTAGTGACCTCTTTAAAAAATAAAAGACAAAACCAAAATACTTTCGCAGAAAATATTTCATAGAATTATTTCTAAAAGTTCCAATGTTTTCATATTTGTTACCACTACTATGAATTTGTCTAAAGGAGTTATCTGCATCACTCCAGCCATTTTCTTCTTTCCTCATTTCAAGTCCTGGTGCACTATTTCTTCTGTATATTTAAAATCCAAACAGCAATTAGAGCCCTCCAGAATAGACATCAGAACTATCTAAATAAATAAAAAGTCTGTGAGTCAAGAACAGTCTCCCAATATCATATCACTATTGAGGACAACGTTAGGCAGAAGTGGAGATCTAACTATGCAACTGGAGATCTTTGTGCAAGATCTGATATGTAGATGTGCTCTTTCTGCCGCAAGCTGTTATGTGGAAAGATGCATGCCAATGCTTTTTGTCACGTGATGAGGAAGGGTCCACAACTTCCACTATTACCCAGGAATTGTGCTGAAAAAAAATGTCTTCTGGAGGTGTAACCCTTTGAGCATAGAATTGCCAAAACTTCTCAAAACTGCCCACCATGCATTTTATTTGCTTTCCCACCCAGGCCACATTGCAGAAGGACAGAGGGAAGGAGCAGCAAAACCAAAACGGAAGGAGAGCGATAGGAAGCAAAGCTATGCGAGTGAGACATAGATAAGTGGAGATTGTCACTCATCAGTGCAGGAGTCCTTCCCCACACATCTTTGCTACACAGAGACAGAGGACCAGGGTGCTCCCGGGGCTCTTCAGCTTCTTTGCTACAGCCTGACTGGGCCACTCTGAAAGCACTAAAGCTTTCCTGAGGACCGTGGCTGCCATGGAATCCAAGAGAGCAGTGGGACCCCATGTTCAGGATTCAAATTGACTTCACTGCCACAATTACCAGTTACATCAACTATCCTTTCACCCCTTCCCCTCAGAATGTATCTCTGTTCTATAGAGATGTGATAAAATTGGGATTGAACTTATTTTTTTCTAATGTTTGTTTGGAATTTTATTTATTTATTTATTTATTGCCTGTTGAGATATCTGGGGACCATTTTTAGAGTTGTAAAATGTATCAGGTGAAAAAACCCCAGCATCTTCAGACAGCAAATGTTTTTCATGTATTTTTCGCTACGTTTGTAGCCAGGACTCATCAGAAGGTAGTAGTTCTCTAAATTCTGTGAAATTCTGGCATTCCAAACATATTCTGAAATAATACTGAAACACTGAAATTTATGACAGATGTCCACAATACAATACAGAAGCTATTTCTGTGTGCATCACCCCCAATGCACAGGATTTCATCAGAGATTGATTTGATATTGACATATCACCCCACTCTAGAAATGCACAGGGCTTTGATACTGTGCTTATGCTGAGTTTATGCCACCACATCCCCACTTCCCAGTGTGCTAGTTCAGGTGTGTCACAGATTACATCATTCACCTTCTCCCAAGGAACTTTCATCATGGAAGGACGTTTAATGCAGAGGGGGTGAAATGGTCATCCTACTGACTTCAGTTGATTCAAGATTTAATTTCCAAGAGTCCAGATTTTCACCAGAGAAACTGTACACAGAGTTCTGCTCCAGGGAGAACTGAACCAAGGTTTGTTGTCAGCAGAGTCTTCATTCCAATAGGGATGGAAAAAAACATTTAGGATTCATCTACCAGCGACTCTTGAGCTAACCAGTTCACAGCTGAATGATGATACAAACTGGCTGTTTGCCCAGCATTTTTAAGCTTTCTTCTATTTTCTGTCTAAAAGCTGTTAGTATTACAGCAGGAGATACTAATCTAAATATTACTGGAATGATTTTAAAGACATCTTTATAGAGCACAGACCAGATCTTGAACATTCTCAGCCCTTCTGATTAACGTATCAGAAACCCCACTAAACTACAGCTAACTGTTATTGTAACTTACAGAATTAGACTTCTACCCCATACCCAGATTAAATACTTAAATTTTCAATGGGAAAAATGTCCAGGACTGCTGCCATTACTCCTGCAACGGCCGTTGGCTGCTCCCTGTTGACAATTTTCATCTGTGGGGCTTCAGACACAAGATCTACATAGCTTGTAGCCACTTGGTTTGTGCTCCTGCCCTTAAAGTTTTTATTGGTCTTCATGTTATGGGGGAAAGAAAACCAGTCTTCCCTTCCAACATGCACAGAGATACGACGAGACCTGGCTTTACTGGAGCACAGTGGCCAGGAGAGAAGTGGGAGGGTGAAAACAGCTGAGCTTCCCCAAGATTACCACCAGATCATGTGGCCCTGCAGTGCACTGGGGCCCTTGCCTGTCTGCTTTTTTCCTCTTCTGCCACAGAAACACAGTAGATTCACTTCACAGTATGGGTATTGCCCATCAGTGAAGAGTCAGATAAAGTGATAAAAGTCTCGCAAAACAAACTACATTTTTCTCATGTCTTTGGCAGGGGACTTTCAATGCAGGATGATTTCAATGTTGTGCTCAGTTTAGGTGGCAAGTTTCCTTTCCACAGGGAGAGTGACACTGGCAAATGAGCCCTTTTTATTTCTCATTCTCTCCTTCAGCTACCTTGTCTTTCCTTGCTCCAGACAGAGAAAAGAAGAAAGAAGAGTTGCTGGTGCATTCCAACATATATGTCAGAGATTACCACTTACCACAGGCAGTGGCCAGAACAGAGAATATAAAAAGAAGTAGAAAAGTAGAAAGCTCTGCCTAGTTAAAGCATGTGTTAAAATGATCTAGATTTAAAAAAAAAAAAAAAAAGAGAGAGAGACACCTCTGCTGTGCCAGCTGCTGAGAAAGAATTGATGAGATTCTGGAAATAATGGATACTTGTAGATCTCTCAGCACTGAATTCGTACAACTGACTTTTCCTTCCCTACAGCTGCATCTCATGCCTCAATACCAACGAGCACCATCTCCTGCTCAGGGAAATCCCAGTAAATGCTCGCTCCCCATGGGCAGCCTGACACATGAAGATCCTCTCACAACACATAATTAGATGTGCTCCAATTTGCAGGACTGCTTCATCATCCTTAACCTCTGAAGAAGAATATATTGGAGAGGTTCAGAAAACAGCTTAGAACCTGTGAAGTGCACTGTTTACAGGTGTGGGAATAGATAGCCATCTGTGAGCTCTGGTAGTTCCTCAGAGGCAAGACGATGTTCAGCCTTATTGTCACTGTCATGGAGAAATGGAGGAATCACTAAGAAGCAGCACGGGTCAGGGAGAAAATGAACCCACAGCCAAGCACCTAGTGATGCACACAAAGTTAATACAAAGACTTGAACTCTCTCCTGTAGGCAACAGCAGCTTTGCACCATTTTAGCAGTGCAAGGAAGCTTCATGCTTAACTACCCTGACACACCTTTGCACTGCCAGAGAGAAAGAAAGAAACCTTCACATCAAATGCTCAAAATTAGGTTGTCAGACAATAAACCCAGCTAATGCTTATCTTTCCCTCTGTCTAAGGAATATATATTACATTATATACACAACATTAAAACTAAAACACGTAGCAGTACTGAATCTATGTGGGGTCAGCCTACTTAGTCAAATAAATAGTTCTTCCTTCTGCTAAAGGAGGCAGGAAAAACACAGTGTAAGCTATTATTTCCTAAGCCTCTGTGTCTTCTGTGACGACTCTCCCTGTATTTTGTTGCCTACTCTCTCTCCTAAGAAACACAGTGCCGCAACATTTTCCAAGAACTGTTTATAAGAGTTCGGTCACCAGGGAACAGTATCTCACCATGTGACTTAGACATTCAATTGCCTGGAAGATACAGAAAAAAACCTTCAGTATCAAGAAATGTACCAGAAAAAATAAGCTGAAATAGGCTTATTAAAGAGTGTTTGCACAAATGTTTCCAGTCAAAGTTGGTTAATGGAAACTTTGCACAGAGATCTGATTCTAATGAAGAAACTGTTTGCCATGACTAGGTTCAGTCAGCCCTGTTTGAATATATGCGTTTGGTAAGTGATGTAATTAACAGCACCTTATTTTTAAACTAGCTGAATAAACAGTTAGTCTTATAAATATTAATTCTTTCATAAAATGTGAGAATAATCAATTTTAGCTGTGTCAGTTGATTTGGCTTCAGTCAAGTTAACGAGAACTATATGGATGATTAAATGATTCACTGCATTTTGTACATACACAGAAAGACAGATAAATCTAATTTTGTTTTACTTTTTCTTAAACATATTGTGTGTTATCTATAACCAGTGGGTCCAGATGACTCAGAAAATATATATACTACGGAGTTCGGAGATGTTAGCGAGAACACCTGAATTTGCTAGATTTCTGCTGCCATCTGCTTGCCAGTGCCTTACTTATCATGCACACTGCAAAACTAAATGTTGCATGCCTCCATGTTCTGACAATAGTAAATTCACTCAAAAAGCTTGACTGAAGCTACTTAAAAATAAGCCCACAGGGATTCGAAATGCAAAAGCTACTCTGTACTACCTCTGTGTATTGATACTCACCATCCTAAAAAGAGCAATGTAAAATTGCACTGCAGTGCAGATTAAATAACAGAAGCTATCACAGAATAGTAATTCCAGTTTCACCATAGAGATAAACCCTAGCACTGTCTGCTCCTCTCACATACATTTCCCCTTTAGAGTTAAAATCTTAACAGATTACAGATCCCTTCTCCTGACTAATCTATTTATCTGCCAGGACAGTAAGACACGAGGTCAATCATTTACTCATACTAACTCACTTTTGTGGCAAAAATGGAGCCCATTCCCCCTTGGTGAACTACACCTACCTGAAAGGGGATCATTTGATGAGTGAATTAGAAATGGAGGCAGAAAGATCTTTGCATAACAAGCAGCGTGCACCTTGCATAGACAAGCTGTGTGCAGTGAACAGATTTTCAATCTGTACACATGCACAAAGCATGAACTCCCTGTCTGGCACCATCTGTGTTTGCAAAGACCAGTCCAAAAGGGTTTCAGCTGGCATTAAGACTGCCAGTCATTGACATCTGTTTTTTGTTCAGTGGCTTCAATGCAGCTACGTTTATTTATACCTGTTTCAAATTTTGCCTCTTTTCTGCACTGCTCTAGAAGGCTGAGGGAGACTGCTAAACTACTCTGAATCTGATGTCTGTTTTACGGCTCATTTTCATGCATTCCCAAGTGAATTTGCATGGAAGGTAAAATACAAATATGTACAAAGCAACATCTATATATCCATACATCTGCACACCCAGGCATAACACTTGGATGTTTGTTTAAACCTATCCCTGGTGGTGAAACATGTAAAGACACACAGACGTCCTGACTATATACTCATCCCACACAAGCACAGGCAGATGCAGCCCACACACAGCATGCACGATTACACACGGATGCCACACGCACTCCTTCCAATACAACAGCTCTGCAGCCCACTTTTCCCCAATCTCCCCTTAATGCCTTTCTTGCCCAAGCCCTTCATGCCTCCCTCCACTCCCATGAAAATAGCAATACTTAACTCCTTAAGAGTGTTGTACAAACCTTTGTTGGTAACTTCCCAAGAAACTTCAAAGAGCAACAAATCCTCCACTGGCAGGTCTTCATCCTCCCACTGAGGAAGCCCGTTAAGAGAAGTCATGGACAGTGATCTAGCCAGTGGCATTTTCTTTAGCCCTCAAATGCTCACCACGCAGGCCACAACAGTTAGCAAATGTCCAGTTAATGTGGCAGTTCTCTGCAGTTCTGGTTAGAGCAGTCTGCCAGCGTGCTGGGCTCCGAGGAGAAAATTATTCCGATAGCTGAGAGCTAATGGGTTTAAACTGTCTGACCACCAGCAATAAATTGGCTCAGTGAAATCCTCAGGGCTTGAGAAGCAGCTGCTGGTAGAGGTAAGAATTTAAGACTGACCTGAGAAAGGTCTTGACTGTTTTCAGGCCAGGGCTTTTTCTTTTTCTTCTCTTAGAGGGAGGTAAAAAATGGTTTTGAGCTCCTCAGCCACAGCATTCAGTATCTACCACCTCAGAGACAACTGAAACTCGACGGTTGTAAATTCAGCACTGCCCTGAGCAAACTCCAGCAGGGAGGACACTTTGAGTTCACCACCTGATTTGAGTCCGGCCCCTGAGTCCTCCCCTCGAGATACACCCTCCAATTAACACCCATGGACCTTCTCTATCTGCTGGCTACTTACCAACCGGGTTAGTAGACTCGTTCTACATGATGTTTCTTAGATTATTTGCCAGGTTAAACGCTGAACCTATTCTTGTTCAGTTCATCAGTCTGTAAGCACTAGTTTACCTCATACCCTTCCTCCACAATTAACTCCAGCTGTGTTCCCAGGGCTCTGCGCAAACTGTTGGCTTCATTCTGCTCTCGAGCAGCCCTGAGAGCTTTTACAAACAAAGCTACAAAGGCTCTATCCCTACTTTGGCATGCATTTTGGCCCTCCTTGCAGTGCTGGTCCCTGATTTTCCGCCTGGTTTCTCTTTTTCTATGCCACAACTCTTTTCTAGCCTCTGGGCCCATGTCCTCTGCCCAGGGAAACTAGTGAGTAAGTCAGGGAGCAGTATGCTCCTATCTTGCTCCAGCATAGACCTGGGATGCTGCAAGCAGTGCACACATGTCTGCAGAGATGTCGGTCCCTAACTCGCAACCTGAGATCCTCAAAGCTCCACAGAGCAGCTGGCTGCTTGGAAGATGCTTACATGCTTACATGTCTTGTTGAGAAGCCACTGCTTCTGGGACAGCTGTGTAAGTTGAATCCAATTCTGAGCTTAGAGCACAACCTGCGCAAAATCTGCAGTTCAGCAGTGAGTAAATCTCCAGGTGAGATCCAGGGCATCTCTGGCACGGTGGAGAATAACATTGCACCAGCAGGCATGGACTACATCGTAACAGAAGGAAAGGCTCTGAGCTCACTTAGGACAAAACAAGTCCAAGGCAATTGGTTTAGAAGACAGGCAGCCCATCTGCATAAAAGTCTCTTAGACATACATAATACAGCTAAGCCTACCTTAAAGGCTAACTGTTCCCCAAAAGACTTGCTCTTCCACTTAACTTCCCATGCCCTCTCTGCACTTACGATAGCCAGACCCATCCCTAAGCTGATGGATACAAACTAACATAAGGACACAGAAAACTTTTTTGCCAGGTTAGGAACCAGAACTGTCTCAGCAAAGAGCCTGGCAAGAGGGGATGGAGCAGCATGGCTGGAAACAGGGAGAGACAGGAAAGGTGAGAGTGAATGCTGCCTCGCCTTTCATAGAATCATAGAATCATTAAGGTTGGAAAAGACCTCTAAGATCATCAAGTCCAACCGTTAACCCAACACCACCGTGCCCACTAAACCATGTCCCTAAGCGCCTCATCTACATGTCTTTTAAATACTTCCAGGGATGGTGACTCAACCACTTCCCTGGGCAGCCTGTTTCCAGCCTGTGGAGCTGGCAGGTGGGCTCAGCTGCGCTGCGCCACTTCACCCACGGGCCAGGCTGTGCGTTGGGAGAGAGAGGTTTCCCTTCTAGGTTAACTGGAAGGCATTGCAGCCTGCCCAGGGAAGGATTCAGGGTTTTATTGGGGGAATGTCTTTTTGTCTCAATGGGTTGAGTTGCCCTATTTACCGGTTTATGAAAAAAAGCCTGGCTGAGAATCATTATTTTTGGAGCAGCTGTGGCTTTTACTACCTGGAATAAGTAGGAAACCATATTATCCTATAGATTAAAAATCATGTTACTTAAAAGAAAAAACAGTAATATTTTAAGGCTCACTTCATTTCTGAACCATCAAATCTGCCCGAGTCACATTTTGACACTTTTCCCTGGAAACCCTGAGGGAAAGGCTGAAAGCTGCCAGTCTCACAAAGGCCATCTCGGGTGATGAGTGGAGAAGGTAAGAACAAAGCAGCCCGCAAACCCATCCTAATCCCAGAGGCTTTCGTCAGCCCTGCGTCAACGAATACACTGCAAAACCAGACATTTTAAACGGGACAGCAGCGCCGGTTAGCCCA